GTAAAGGATTACTAAATTATCATAGGAGAGTAAACTGGGAAGACAGAAAGACACCTCTAAAGGGTAGCCTAAGGGACCACCTTGGAAGCTGGCTTCACACCTTGTTGAAGAGGTATGGTTGTAGCCCACTGAATGGTGGAGAATTCCTGGGTGCCCGGGCCAGAGCTGGTCACCGTCTCCCGGCGAGCAGAAGAAACCCTGGGGGGGCACAGGTGAGCCACTGCTGGTGGGTGGGTACACAGGTGGGCATGGAGGGAGTAGGCGTGCCTGGCGAACTAGGGTGCTGCTGATAGCATGGTGGCTGTTGTGCCTGGCCTCATGTCAGGAGGGCCCCGGGAGATAATGTCTAGGATGCGGGCCAGCAGAGGCTGGTGGGCAGACGTCCGGAAGGGCAGACAATGTGTGGAGATGTGTGGACGATGATGTGTAGACAACCTGCCCTGAGCACTGTTGGAACGGGGAGCTGGAGAATTCAGAAGTCTCCCTAGACTGAGAAGATAAAGCTAGAAGTCCGGAGAAGCCAAGACAGAGCTTCAACAGAGTGCCGGAGAGGAGATACTGCACAGAACAAGAGGTCCGGGGATCTGCAGAGAGTCCCCTCGGCCGACCAGTCATGTGGGAGAGACAGCTGCCTCTGGGCAGGGGGAGAACCACCTGAAAGGAGCAGGGCAGAAGGATCCGCACTCACTCGGGGCTGGGAAGAGCTGTTATTCCCTCAGCCAGTGAGAAAAACATCATAATACGAGGGGCATCAGATAGAGAACCCAGGGATTGCCTCAGTGAAGGAGAAATCAGGCCAAGGCTAAAGGCTGCTCTGGTCTTATTTGATAAAGCTTCAGAACGATCAAACTGTTCCCAAGTAACCTATCTGTGTTCCAGAACAAAGCTCCAGAATATTTAAAAAACTTTTTTTTTTTTTTTTACAGTTTATTTATTTATTTTGAGGGGGAGAGGGGCAGGGAGAGAGAATCCCAAGAATATTTATTTTTTATTTTTTTATTAAAAAATTTTTTTTTAATGTTTATTCATTTCTGAAAGACAGCGAGAGAAGGAGCATAAGCAGGGGTGGGGTGGAGAGAGAGGGGGACACAGAATCTGAACCAGCCTCCCGGCTCTGAGCTGTCAGCACAGAGCCCAACACGGGGCTCAAATTCACAAACCGTGAGATCATGACCTGAGCTGAAGTCGGACACTCAACCGACTGAGCCACCCAGGCGCCCCCCAAGAATAGTTTTAAAAATATAAAAATCTCCAGCACCAAGAAGGTAAAATCCACAATATTTAGCATGTAATAAAGAAATACAAGGCAGGGCACCTGGGTGGCTCAGTCGGTTGAGCATGAGACTTCGGCTCAGGTCATGATCTCACATTTCGAGAGTTTGAGTCCCACATCGGGCTCTCTGCTGTCAGGACAGAGCCCACTTGAGATCCTCTGTCCCCCCTCTCTCTGCCCCTCCCCTGCTTTCTCTCTCCCTCAAAAATAAATAAACATTAAAAAGGAAAAAAAAAAGAATTACGAAGCATGCAAAGAACAGGACAAAATGGCTGACAGGGTAATTTTACCAATAATGATGACACAGATGGGGTAGACAAGCACATTCATATAGTTACTGTAACAGTATTCTACATGCTTAAGGACGTTGAGAAAAACAAAAGCATATTAGGCAGAAGGGCGCCTGGCTGTTTCAGTCGGTTAAGCGACTGACTCTTGATTTTGCCTCAGGTCCTGATCCCAAGGTCATGAAATGGAGCCCTCCACTGGGCTCTGTGTTGACTGTGGAGCCTGCTTGGGATTTTCTCTCTCTCCCTCTGCCCCTCCCCTGCTTGCACTCTCTCTCTCTCTGTCCCTCTAAAATTAAAAAAACAAAACAAAACGATATTAGGGAGAGACATGAAAGGAATAAGAAAGGCCTGTGTTGAACGTAGAGTGAAGAAAAGTGCAATGTTTGAGAAGAAACACACATTGGGATGAGATAGATAAACTAGATGCAGCAGAAGAAAAGATAAGTGAACTTGAAGACATAGCAATAGAAACAATCCAAAATGAAGCACACGGTGGCGGGGGGCGGGGGGGGGAGCCTTAAAAAAAGGGATAAGACATTAGTAAGTGGGACAAATTCAAGTGGCCCTAATATGCAGGGGAGAGAGGAGGGGACAAAAGTATTTGAAGAAATAATGGCTAAATTTTTCTGACTTCGATGAAAACTGTAAACCCACAGACCCACAAAGCTCAATGAAGTCCATGCAAAAGGAACAAAAAAGCCTAGACTAATGCACATTATAATAAAAATACATAAAACCAGTGTTAGAAAATCTCGGATGCAGTGAAAGAATGATATCGTTTGTCCAAAGGAACAAAAATGACAGCTGACTTCCTGTCAAAGTGTTGTTATATGGGATTATGAGTTGTGAGCACTTTTTTTTTGAAAGCTAAATATTCTATTTCTCAGAGCAGAAAGCACCCTAATGGTGGAATAGTATTTTGTATACCTCTGGCATATAATCTGATGGGTTATGCCGAGTACCTATTTTATTTATTTTCTTTCTTTGCCCCTATTGCATAGGAGGAAAGGAATATGTTTACTGTCAATCATTTAGGAGAAATTCTTGCTTATGGAAATAATAAATGGGGCAGTGGTCCTTCCAAGGGCAACAGAAATATATATAGTGGTGATAATCATCAGTGCTTCGTGACTGCCTTTGCACTGGAGCCAGTGTTTTACAGATATAATCAAAATGGGTTCTCCCCTGAAATCTCTGCCTCTTTTCTAGCAACAGAACCCCTGATTTTTTTGCGAGACACACGGCTGTGAAGCCATCATGCTCCGCTCTCTCTTGGCTAGGGTGCGATACTTCTGGAAACCGGCCTTTTTGCTCCTTTCTTCTAGCCAACGCGCAGATGAGAAAGCAGCGGCAGAAGCAGGTGGCTTGGACCTTTGAGGCCAACTTGGTAATGCTCAAGAGAGAGGCTGCTCGAAGGAGTCAGTGTCCCAGACACCACGGAGCACCGCACCTGCCTTGAGCCACTTACCTGCGGCTTCACCTGAACTTGCGTCCGTTCAAGCCACAGTTTGGGGCATTGGCTCACTTGCAGCTGAACCTAATCTCTCCTACCCCAAGCACGTGTCATTCTCTCTACTTTCCCGAGACGGCAAGCAAGTCCCTAACATGTGGCAAAGCTTGGACTTGAACCAGGTCTGCCTTTTTCTAAAACCCTTGTTCTTTTCAGTAAATTACTCTTCTTACCATTAGTGTTTAGAAAAATGGCAGGTATACTATTAAAGGACTTGCGGAGGTTACTACATCAAAATATCCATAGCCACTAAGAGCTTTAACTAAAGCTCTCCGATAAATAAATATTTAAGAACATCTGACGACTTAGGGCTTTTAAAGGGAATATTTCCACTGGAATAGTGACATAAACGGAATTTTTTAAAAGCCAGAAAACCTAGAAGCAAGCACTCCCAATATTTTAATTTCTGGAGTGTTTTTGTCCTTTGCCGCCTCCTACTTTACCTGACTCTCCCCCTACCCCCCCCCCCCCCCGTTTGGTGACAAGAATTGGGGGGAAATGTCTCTCAAAATAAAATAAAAGCTTTAATTTAAAAGAAAGAAAGAAAGAAAGAAGAAAGAAAGAAAGAAAGAAAGAAAGAAAGAAAGAAAGAAAGAGAAAAGAAAAGAAAGTGAAACCTTTACCACTGTTTCTCAACCCACAGGATTACGCTGAACCCCACCTGAAGTTTCTTCTCTACCGTTTGGAGGGGATCTGGCCGTGCCACCCGGAATATGCCCCTTTGGCATACTGTTTTGCCCTGAAGCCTTTAAGAGCTCTCAGATGCAGGAAGGGCCCCCTGACTCCCCCTTTTTACCCAAGAACAGGTCGTGAGATTTCCCTCCAGGAAGGGCCCTCCCTGCTCCAGAAAGGGGACAGTCTTATCGCCAGAGAGTGGAGGAAACCTGCATAGACCATCCTAAAATAACCCTCATGTTCCCTCAGGTTCCCCTGGATTTCCCAGTCCCTGTCCCACAATTCACTGCCCCTAATCGGAGCCTGTCTTGTCGCATCCCCACGAAATATCATTCTTTGTGTAAAAAGGGAGGGGAGCTTTGAGGTTCCTGGCCCCCTCAGGCCTTAACCCTCCTTCCGCAGACCCCTGTGTGCACGCAGACCTTAAATAAATGTGTGCGCTTTTCTCGTTAGTCTGTTTTATGTCAGCTTAATTCTCAGGCCGGCCACAGATCCCGAGAGGGTAGAAGGAAGTTTTTTCTCCCCTCCATTTTAATAACAGTAGGTATTAGTGGGACATTTATTTTACCCAGGTAGACATTGTATTATTTTAAAGCGCTGTGTCGTGTATAATCGTAAGAATGAAATACGAGGACGTCCCCTGGGATGTTTATCTTCTGCTGTCCGGGGCTCAGACCTGCTCTGAGCTACAAGAAAGGGGGCTATGCAGCCCCACTGAGGGTCCGGTCCAATATCCTGCCTTTTGGGACAGACTTTGTAGAGTTTGCAGATTTCCTTGCTATTGTACATGTGAAGAGAGTATCTTAGCAGGAGGCATTTCACCCTTTGTCTCCCACAAACGCACACAGCGCTCTCCTGGGTTTGTGCCTTTGGTTATTCATTCCGTTTCTAATTGCTTTCTTCCCCACCAATTATCCGTCTCAGTGTTCTCCTCCGGGAAGCCTTCCAGATTACTCTAGTTAAAACCTGTAGCTTTCAAAGAGGGAACAGCAGTAGCAGCACCGCCCCCCCCCCCCCCCCGGGACTGGGAACACGTCAGGCGCCCCTCCCCCCCAAGCTGCCGGTGGGCCCAGCAATTGGCCTTTGGGGGCTCTGCGAGCTGCGGCTGCACACCCCAGTCTGCTAGGGTGCGCTCCAGGGCCGGGGTGATGTCTCCTGCTTCTGGGCTCTCGCCCCGTCCCCCCTCCCCCGGGCAGTGGGGGTGCGGCCCCCTTCAGATGCAGGTAGCCGGCTCCCCCGCCGCCTTACGTACTGAGTCAAGACTTAGGGCCTCGCTGCTTGCCAGAAAGTGGTCGTTGAACGGCTCAGACTGGACGATGCCTGTCATCTCCACGACTGAATTGGTCTTCGGTCACCGTGAGCGCCCCTATTAAGCCGGAGGGAGCCTTATAAGGCCCGGGAGCACCCGAAATGGAGAAGGCCTTTCACCTTCACATGCCAAGCTGTGAAAAGGCCGGCCAGACGCGCGACGCCACGTGGCCCACATGCGTTAGACAACAATGACAAGAGCTAACTTTTCTCGCGCTCCGATTACGAGCCGGCTCCCGTCCTCCGCAGGTCTGGTGACGAAACTTGCAGGGCCCAATGCAAATGGGCATATGGGGCCCCTGATGAAAAAGCAGGGAAAGGGGGCTGAAATATTAAGTATTCTCCTTTCTTCTGTGGCCTATCTCTGGGCTCATCCTGGTGCTTTTACTTTCTATTTGATGCCACTCTCCCCGGGGCACAGGGACACTCGCGGGGGGCGTGCAGACCCTGCCAGGTGCCGCCAGTCAGGGGTCGGGGTGCACACCCCTCCCCCCAGCTGCTGACTTCCCGGCACCCCCACACTCCAAACAGAGGCACCGCGGCGGCGGGGGGCGGGGAAGCCCACCACCCAACCTGCGGCAGACCTGTGGCCCCAGGGCCCCAGGGCATTTCTCTCTCTCTCTCTCTCTCTCTCTCTGCACCCGCACGCGCTGGGGGCCCGGAAGGGGTGGGCCCTGCCAGCCCAGGGGGACACACGCTGCCCCGCCCCCATCGATCGGAAACGCCGCGGCGCACCCGGGGACCCAGACCCTCCGGCGCCCACCCCCAGCCCCCCCGGGAGCCGAGCGCGGCCGCGGGCGCCGGGTGGGGGCGGGGCGGGGCGGGGGCTGGGAACCCTGCGGCCTGGAACCCGCTCCCGCTCCCGGGAGGCAGGAGGCGGACCCCTCCGGAGCGCAGCCTCCGAGCCTGGTGCGGGCTGCGAGGTCCCTTGGGAATTCATTTCCAAAAGCAGAAATTCAAAAGGTAAAATTAAGGATTGCTAGGCAGTGACCCCAGAGCATTCACTCCCAAGCGGGGACCCTTGCGGACGCCGGGCCCAGTCACTGTCCTCGCTGCCTTGCCCCTGCAGCCAGCCTTCTGTAGGATTGACTGCTGTAATTCTCACCACGACAGGTCTGTAAGACGAGGTATTCCTGTTGTCTCCTGTTACAGATGGGGAAGTTGAGGCACAGAGGGAGGAGGCAGCCCGCCTGAGATTGCTCGGCCGCGGGAGGAGGCGGAGTGGGGTCCTGGCCCAGGCAGTCTGGCCCGCAGCCTGCTGTCACACACAGCGGTGTGTGCACAGCAGATGTAAAATCAGAAGCTGTAGCCAAACGCTGATGGCTCTCGGAGCCCCGCAGGCCTAGAGCCCTGTCCTCACTGCTGTTGCTCTGGTTTTCCTTCCCTCCCCCCCCACCCCCCCGCAAAACTTTTCATCTTCTCCCAAAGCAGAAGTGGGAACATTGCTACAAGGTAAGGTCTCCTTTTAGGACACTGAGCGCCAGGGGCAGGCCTGTGGAGGTGGGCCGGTCAGGCCCAGCCCTCCCCCAGGATGCTTGGGGAAGCCCACCGGCTTCCTTCTGTGGGTTTCATGGTCGGGTGGGGGTTGGGGGATGGGCGAGTAGGGGAGGAAGACCCTGCTCATCTGTGTTACCAGAGGAATTGGTAAGCAAGTGGGAATGTCTGCCAGGGCTCCTGGGAAACTTCTAGAACTTTGCAGTTCTTTTCAGTGCCCACCTTCCTAGGTTGCTTCTAGTTTATTTTACTGAGAGTGGGTAGGATCTCTGAAAACATAGTCTCAAAAGAATTACAGACTGCCCCCATCCGTGC